TGCAGCCAATCAGTGAACTGATGCAGTTTGATTGGCTACGTTTCGCAAGACGGGCGTTTCACATGACGAGCTCAGTGCCGAAACGGATTAAACTCATTAACTGGGGTTCTACTGTATGGCTTTCTTTAATAAGTAGATATATATGCACCTGCACGAATCACAAAGCGCATAAAAATATGAAGGAGGCGACGCAACTCACGATGACATAAACATTTCGGGATATCTCAAACGTTTTGTAAACCATTCGTCCAACGCGTTCCAGCAAATAAGTCCCTTTGTTACACAGAATATGTTTACAAGTAATTTTCTAAAGGAAAAGGTTGCGAAATTTTAGCGAAAAATATCACTATGCATTAAAGGCTACTTCCCGTGCTGCAAACTCTTCCAGACCAGAGACGAAAGCTTTGACAGACGGTATTCGCGTACGCAAAAAATGAGCGTGCTTTTTTTACGAGCACGACTTCACAAAAACTGATCATAGAGGCTCGCGTGCTCATGTCTTCCCTTTGGTGTAGGTGATATTGATTTCTGGTGGGCGAGCAAATAAAGTCGACGGACTTGTTGAGATTAGAATCTGGCACACCAAGGACCAAGCTACGGTCAAGGCTCTAACCACGGATTCAACTGAGCTTTTCACAACTGAATAAAATGGTTGTTTTTCGTGGACAGCTTTATCTCTGACGATGGACCTCCGCAAGAGCCCGACAGCTCAGGCCAATAAACAAATTAATCCGCTGCTCGACAACCCCCCTTCTTCCTCATTCATGCAAATTAACTATGCAGATCTGCCAAAACACCTATATGTTACATAAACCTGCTAGAGTCATCTGGTGTATTCTATCTCGGTTGAGATTAGGGCCCAAAACATCAAGAACGGGCTACGGCCAACGCTGTAGCCACAGATTTAGCTGATTTTTTTTCCACAAATGAGTTATGTAAACCTGCCAAAATATGTGCTAATAACATAAGCCTGGTCGTCATCTGGTGGTGTATTCTAGCTTGGTTGCTTAGACCAGTAGGCTTAGATAGTTTACTTACCGTCTCAGAATTAGGGTATTTCATGTGTTGCGGCAGGCTGAGGGACAACGAATGCTCATGCTGCGACCCCACTAAACTGACAACGAATTCTTAACCTTAAAGTACACGATGAATAGGGTTAGGCTGGTGCGTGTAAATAGGCATGTAGGCGTTTAGGCGGTCTAATTCCGTGCTAAGAAAAAAAACAACAACTCGCTTGAACGATGGCAGTGGGGGCATGTGCACTTCTTTTATTTGCCAAAGCGGTACCTCCCTTTCCTGTCCACTAAACACCACCCTTTCCCTCCACAATTTACACCATTCCCGTATTACGTGCGCCTCCACCTATCGATTGCATTCGTTGCCACTTCTGAGGGTAATTAATTCAATTACGATTGAATCCACGGTTTTCGGCGGTTGGGGCCTCTTCACTCGGTTAGAAGGCTGGCTATACCCCTGGCTTTGCCCTTGTTGTCATGGGTTTGAATCCCACCGAGGCCTAATTGGGTCAGATGAATTTTGGACCTGCCGCCAAAAACTCAGTTGGCTGCGGTGTGGTATCCGTTCTGTTTCTTCATGACGTAACCTAGCGGTCATCTAGCTGTACAAAAAAGAGTATCTTGTCTTACGAGTTGAAATGCCTATCTGATAGTGGACATTGTCCTGCTTTCTTGTGGAATATTTACGTGCGTAGATTAAGACAAAGGAATGCTTAGTGGCGTTATTTATCATTTTTAGGGCATATATATATATATATATATATATATATACTTCCACCGATTTGCAAATCGAACTTAAAGAAAGTGGAATGTCTGCTTTTCAGCGGATTACTTACTGATTTATGTCTTGTTTTTTTCTTCTATGATTTACGCAGACTGATAAAGAAAGTTTAAGATTTGCGAAGCTTTTGTTGATGTGCGCTTTCCTATCGATATTTTCTACTAGACAAACTGTCACACTCACGCTGCTGTAGCCTTAGACTGCTGTTAATGTAGGCAATTGCCTGAATGTAAAGGTACGTAGATCTCCAGCCCCAAGCTGTGACTTTTTCCGTCAATAATATGGATAAGATAAATATTGTTAATATGCGCGATTATTCGAGGTCCAGACATCAAATCGTGTGCATTATCTCTCGAAGAGGAAGAAGAAGAGGGGGCAATTTCATGGACCACAGTATATTTTGACTGATGTTTCAAAAGCTCACTCGCCTCCATCGTCAGAGTCCCGTGCTTTCTCTTCCGCGGGCCTTGAATGAATCCGCCTTGCCGCGAACCGTGTGAAATATCGGTGCTCACTTCACGTGTGTTTGCCTGTCTGGTGGCCAC